TGCAACCGAGCTATATTGCACTTTTTCCCCTAAATAAATATGCAGTAAAGTCTGTTTTTTTTTTAAAGATAAAAGTGAAAATGGCATTATTTTGGCAATACAATGTAAAATTCTCAATTCTTTCAATTTTTTTTTGTAGAAAAGGCTTGTTTTGCCGACATAGTAACTAAATTTTTGACTTGGGGAATAATCTTTAAAAAAAAAAAAAACATACTTTATAGCCCGGTCACCTAAAGAGTTTTTTATTTAATTAAGAAAATGCAGATTAACCCAAACTAACCCTTACTAACCCGTCCGTATAGTGCTAATCTTGGTTTATTTTTAACCAACCTATATATTGCTCTTTACCCCCTAAATAAATATGCAGTAGGTATAGCCCGATCACCGAAAATATATTTTTTTTAAAATTCAAAATCGTTTGTTTAATATCCAAATAGTGAATTTTAAATAAAATTTTCTAGAGGAAATTTTTAATTGAAAAATTATACTGACAATACTGTATTATTTGTAACCGAGCTATACTGCACTTTTCCCCCCAGTAATTATAAAGTTTAGCCCGGTCAATCGGAATCAAAAAATTTTGTGATCTTTGCTTTAACGTTTAACTAAGACATCATGATAAAACATACTCGGCGGATAACTCATTAATTTCGTCAGTGATTCACTATTTGGACGTTACACAAACGATTTTCATTGAAAAAAAAAAAATTATAGGTGACCGAGCTATACCTACTGCAATTTATTTAGGGGCGAAAGTGCAGCATAGGTCGGTTACAAATGAAACAGTATTTTACTTATGCAGACTAGCTAGCGCTATACGGACGGGTTAGTAAGAGTTAGTTTGATTTAATCTGCATTTTCTTAATTAAATGAAAAACTCTTTAGGTTTCCGGGCTATACTGCATATTTATTTAGGGGAAAAAGTGCATCATAGTTACAACCGATGCACTTACAGTGCATTGGTTACAAATAATAGTATATTGTGTATTTAGGTGGAAAAATGACACATTTGAGAATGTGCTTTTCCACCGAAATACACATACTATTTTTTCTGCGATCGGTTAAATATCTGTTAAACGTTTGTCTTTTTGTTCCAATTATTCAGCAGTACGAGAATCACTTTCCCGGCCTAGGCCGGAAAAGTGATTCAGGTATTGTTATTCATTGATTCCTTAGCAACTATTGAAACATAATTAAAATACCAGAATATTGAGTTTTGCGACCTGTCAACCGGTTAAAAATGCTGACATTTCTTGTCAATCGCAGAAAAATAGTATTTTCAGTACAATTTCAATTTGTAATTTTTCAATTAAAGATTTTCAGATTCCCGGTGAAAAATTTTCTTTAAAATGCACTATTTGGATGTTTAACAAATTTCAATGAAAAAAAAAAATACATTTTAGGTGACCGGGCTATACTGCATATTTATTTAGGGGATAAAGTGCAGTATAGCCCGGTCATCTAAAATACTTATTTTTCTGAGTATTTTCAATATAATTTTAATTTGTAATTTTTAAATTAAAGATTTCCGCTGGAAAATTTTCTTCAAAATGCACTATTTGAACGTTAAACAAATGAGTCTTATTCAAAAAAATGCTATTCTAGGTGACCGGGCTATACTGCACTTTTACCTGATTTGTTCATGAAAGAAGCTTGTGATGAAAACTATTTATTGTTGAAGGTAAATTGTTAAAAAAGTAAGCTTTCGATTAGTTGGTTTATTTATCACAATTATTGTTTCAGGTAGTTATGATTATGGGAATATCAGGAGCATTGCGGCGAGATGAAGTAGTTAAAATGACGATAGATGACATTCAGGAGAAAGATGCCGTATTAATAGTAACAGTTCCTGATACTAAGACTAACCAGAAGCGCGTTTTCACAATCACTAATTTGAATTTTATAAAAATTTACCTCAAATACGCAGCCCTTCGACCAAAAAATATTAATAGTCGTCGTGTATTTTTGAGATATGAAAATGGAAAGTGCACTGCACAAGTTGTCGGGGTGCATACGATCGGAAAAATACCCTCCATGATTGCTAAGTATCTGGGATTGCCAAATAGTGAAGCATACACGGGTCACTGTTTCAGAAGAAGCTCTGCTACGCTTCTTGCAAATACCGGTGCCGATATGTCAGTTCTGAAACGCCACGGTGGGTGGAAATCCACCACAGTAGCGGAAGGATACATAGAGGACTCCATCGAAAATAAGAAAAAAATTTCTAATTCAATTTCTGGCAGTATAGCTTCTAGCTCCAATGTTAGTAATAATTATTCAAAAACACTGGATTTAGTTGCTTCAACTTCAGGAGTAAATATTAGTAATACTTAATTCTAACTGTCATATAACTGTTAATATTTATCCTAAATAATGTATGTCGTTGTGAAGAATTTGGAAATAAAATTTATTTGTTGTCAAGCTGTTGTCAAAGTGTCAAATTTTGATTTTTAGTTTCGCGGCCGTCACCAAGGGCAACGGCCGCGAAATTGAACTTCGCGGACTGTGTGGCGTCCGCGAAAGCTCATCTCGCGGATGGTTGCACAAAAACATTACTAATGATAATATGCATATTAAAAAAACTCTCCCTGAAGTGCAGAAGTTTTATTTTATTTAAGTAAATATCACTACAATTTTGATATTTTTTGAGCTATACCCTGTATGCTGTTTGACTGCAACCATTCTAAGTGCACCTAATATGATTATCAGACATGCACCAACTTTTGGCCTTGTTTATATTTTGATTGTGCTATTACTAAAAAAAAATCCCATATGTTGCACACTTAAGTAATGACACTGTAGATCCCGAAGTCTTTTTCCATTCTGACACACCAACATGTAAACGTAAAGCCAGCAGTCCCCTAATAATTAAAAAAAAAATCTGTAACTCAGTTAATAATTAATCAATTCTATTTTTTCTTCTACTATTTAGGAGCACCTAAAAAGCACCTAATTCTGATACAAAAGAAAATTTTGAAAAAATATGCTTTACTATAGGGGACTTCTAGCTTTCATAAACCTAGCAGTCCCTTAGTGTTTTTTTTTTTTTGATTTTCTCAAAAACTAGAGGAGCACCTAATTTTTAATTAGAGGCTCTAATTAGCACCTACATAGACTTTATTATATAGATCCCGAAGTTTTTTTCCATTCTGACACACCAACATGTAAACATAAAGCCAGCAGTCCCCTAATAATTAAAAAAAAATCTGTAACTCAGTTAATAATTAATCAATTCTATTTTTTCTTCGACTATCTAGGAGCACCTAATTCTGATACAAAAGAAAATTTTGAAAAAATATGCTTCACTATAGGGGACTTCTAGCTTTCATAAACCTAGCAGTCCCTTAGTGTTTTTTTTTTTTGATTTTCTAAAAAACTAGAGGAGCACCTAATTTTTAATTAGAGGCTCTAATTAGCACCTACATAGACCTTATTATATAGATCCCAAAGTTTTTTTTCTATTCTGACACACCAACATGTAAACATAAAGCCAGCAGTCCCCTAATAATTAAAAAAAAAAATCTGTAACTCAGTTAATAATTAATCAATTCTATTTTTTCTTGGACTTTTTAGGAGCACCTAAAAAGCACCTAATTCTCACACAAAGAAAAAATTTAAAAAAATATTTTTTACTATAGGAGACTGCTAGCTTTTATAAATCTAGCAGTCCCTTAGTTTTCTTTGATTTTTCTAAAAACTAAAGGAGCACCTAATTTTTAATTAGAGGCTCTAATTAGCACCTAATTATTATATAGTTCCCGAAGTTTTTCTCCACCTTGGGACTGCTAGGTTTATATAGACCTATTGAAAAGTTTTTAGCTGTGTAAGTTTCAAAGTATGTTTTCAGGTTTTTTTATTTTGATTTTCTCCAAGGTGAACAAGGTCTATGGAGTAAACCACCTCTTCGAATTTGTGTAAACAATTCCTCAAACTTCTTGCAAATTCCCTACAAATTCCTCTTAATTATCCATTCTCTACAGTTTTAGCTAAGAATTCCTAGGTGGTTTTGATTTGACTCAAATTTATTTATACACATTGTAAATTATTATTTCAGGCAGTACCTACCTAAACAGCAAACTTTGGTCTTGCTTTTTTGATGATATTTACATTATTTTGGTGGCAGACATATTCAATCCATTGTCTATTATACCTGTTTAGTGTTTTATACTATTTATAGCAAAAATCCCTTCTAAGGAAAGGAAAACCTGTACCTACCATTTTTTGCTGCCATTAATAATCAATAATTACTTGGAAAAAAGTACCTTCAAAGCAAAAATGTATGTTTCTAAGGAATAAACTTTGTCCCAAAAAGTTATAACCTCAAGTTAAGAGGTCAACATCTTTATCCCACAACCAATTGAAACAAGTCACTTACCTTCTGGATTTAACGGGGTAATGGTGGTAGTTGAGGTGGGAGCCAGTGCAGGAAAATGGGGGCAAAGCAAGCCCCATCCAACGGTACACTCTCTTGTCGAATATTAATTTCCTTTCTTGCTGAAAAAAAAAAAACAAACAGATGGTTATTATTTATGATAAATAATTATAAAACCAAGAGTATAATTTGTTTAACGATTAATTAATTAAAGGGGGAAAACAAAGGTTTTGATTATTAAAGTAAACACCCTCAGCTGGGGCCTTAAAAAGAAAATACCTCCTGGTTGTATTTAGTAATTATTGAATGGGGACAATTTTTAGGGACTTACGATTGTGTGGCAGTAATTTTATATGGAAAAATAATAACTTTTTTGGGGGTAAACAACAATTTTGCTGTATTTGTCAATAATGGGGTATTGACTGATTTTTTTTGATGTGTCAACTAGCGCCACCAAACGGTATTTGAGTAAAACGACAGTTTTGCGTGAACGAGTACAGATGGCCTCACTATTAAAACTATTCTTAAAAACCCAGTGTTGCAATAGGTGCATCCTTTTCTCTACCAGGTTGATAGAAAAAGATAGAACTACACTTATTTGAAAAAGAGAAGGCAATTTGACATATACACCATAACCTCATTTATATAATCAAAACATAAACATTTGCATTTAATTATTGTTGATTTATATCTTTTATTAAAAATTTGAAAGCCATGGACGATATTTTACCAAAAGAAATCGACCACAACAACCTACGAGCCCTGGACAATTTAAAGTACAACTTCGAAAACACCCATTCCGAAGATGAAGACGACTACGAAGACGAAATCTCGAGCCAAGACATAAAATCGGACATTGAATTCGAAATAAATTCCACAAATCAAACAAAAATTGAAGAGGATCAAATGGACGTGGACATTATTTTGCCGCAGGTGTCCAACGTCAGCGTCCAGCAACAAACGGCCAAACCTAAAAAGGATGTTAAAACACGCAGAGAGCTCGAGGAAGAGGAAAGAGAGAAAATGCAAGTTTTGGTATCAAATTTTACTGAGGAACAACTGGACCGGTACGAAATGTACAGGAGATCCGCCTTTCCTAAAGCGGCAATTAAACGCCTCATGCAAACGATAACTGGATGTTCTGTATCGCAAAATGTCGTCATTGCTATGGCTGGTATTGCTAAGGTTTTTGTTGGGGAAATTGTAGAAGAAGGTAAAGGATTGAGACTCTATAGAGGAGGCTCTATGTAAGTCTGTTTTAGGTTTAGATGTAATGGAAGAATTGGGAGAAAGTGGTCCCTTGCAGCCAAAACATTTGAGGGAATCAGTAAGAAGGATGAGGAAAATCGGGAATATACCTAGCGGAAGGGATTATAGATCACATTTCAAACTTTAATCTCAATAAAATTAGATCAGAATAAACTATTGTATATAATGTATGGTAATCATGTGTTATTATTGCCCCTTATTATATAATTATTATACCATTAATATTTTATTTAAAATTAAATCATAATTAGGTTCTGTATTTTTCAATTTACATTCTGCAACCTTCCAAAACATCTCTGGTCCAAGGTAAAGCTCTGCTGCTACTGGATCCTCAAGCATAGTCTTTCTCCATTTGCGCAATGTTGGAATTTGAGTGTCTTGCAATGGTAGTTTTTCTTTGTATTTTATAGCAATAGTGCTGGCTCTTTCGCCCCAAGGCCATAGCATGTAATCAACCATGTTGGGGTGTTCACCTCCAAAAAATTTGCCCCCTCTCAATGCTAATTCGTTTTCCAAGGGTTGAAGCACCTCAACCAATTCTCTAGCCCATTGTTCTAGGGATTTTTGTTCACTTCCAAACAGGCACTTTGCAAAAACTCCCTCTGCAGGCCCAATTTTTTCAATCAATTCCTCGTCTTTTGATTTCAAGGGCAAAATTGCATCGAATAAAGGCGCACAAGGTTTTGGACTCTTGGTGGTTCCACAGAACCTAAAATATAATATAAAATTGTCGATTTTTTATGGAAAAAGTGCCTCACTTGCCTTTTGTTAAGTGTTTTGAAGACATTGTTCAGTAGGTGTAGCAATAACAACTGGTTTAATCATCAAAGAACAAAGAAAACCGCAATTAGACTTTCATTTTTTCAAGTTCAAGTTTGCATTTTGCATTCAATAAAGGAGGGGTGAGGGCTTATCGATATGTCTATCGATACGATTATATTATTAATGCACCCAACTGTCGAGAATATCATTTCTGTGCTTTTGGCGAAAGCGTTTTAAATGTGGTTTCTATCCTTATTATCATTATTAGGTCTGTTTCTGCAGAAATTACAAACCAATCAGAGCGAATTTTATTGGTTCAGAAACAATCAGAAAACTAGTTTCAACCAATGGAATTCACTCTGACTAACGTCCGACAAATACCATTTCAAAGTCACGTGATATTGGTGGCAAAAAACGTATGTCCATTGATTATGTCGTTGATATCACCTACAAAAAGCTACTGGTGGTTAATTACTATTGAATTTCAGGATATGTTCCCACTAGCATTTTACAAACACGTTTCTGAAGAAATTGACCAATCAGATGGGAATTTTAATACTTGCAATTGTCGCGAGACTCACTTTTGTCGCATCTGCTGTCTGTTGTAATACATTCTGAACTTGAATTGGGTACCCGTTTTCTATTTGCTTCTTTTCGAGTTGGAAAAAGGTTAATATAATCAAAATTATTAGGTCTGTTTGTTCGTTGTATTATTTTCGAAAATAACTTTGACAAACTAATTGATGACAGTGACGGATTCTATCTCAGGTAAAAATATTATGAACAATAATTAGACACTGTTTTTTTTGTCAATTTTACTATCACCGCTGTTTGAGATGTATTCAACAAGGATAGAGAAAAATCACGTGACTTTAAAATGGTATTTGTTGGACTTTACCTACCTACCTAGATTTTGGAAAACTTGGAAAGGTCATAACTTTTTTCCTATTATCATCTATTATAGATAGAAAGCTGAAATTTTTAGTGAAGTTTATCTCAATAAAGGGACAATCCCTGAAAATTTGAGCTCATTTGCACTTATAGTTCCTGAGATAAAATCGTGTTAAGCAATTTGGGGTGATTTATCAATTTTTCAATTTTTCTGAGTGCCTTTTTTCATAGATTTCGGCTTCAAATCTGAGAATAATTTAGTGTATAGAGTTTGGGTGTGATACAATTTTAATAACATACATATGACAACGTCCAAAATTCGAAAAACTCTACCCCTTCTATTTTCAATGGTTTTGGCTCAAAATTCGAAAATCTGACATTTTTTACAAATTTGGTTAGATCAAAAAGTTCCCCCCTTCTGATTTTAATGGTTCTGGTTCCAAATTCGAATAGACATTTTTCACAAAATCCCTTGGGAAATTAAAAAACTTTCCATCTGGGTTTAATGGCGGCTTTGGCCGAAAATTCGAAAATTCTAAATTTTTCAAAAATTCTTTAGAAGACCAAAGGACCCTCTTTGGATAATCTTGGGTTAGGAGACCAAAAAACCCCTTCTGATTTCAATGATTTCGTTACCAAATTCAAAAATAAAACAATTTCATCAAAAACTAGTTCATCAATATTCACATTTCAAGTTCTTCCGTGCTCTATTATGAGAGCTAAATAACTTAGACGAGTTTGAGACATGTTCGACCTAAGGACATTTTTCATTAATTTCATTTGGAGTTTGGTTGGAGTCTGGGGTGGAGTAAAAATTAAACGATTTTATATAAAGTTATGTTTTAAGATTTTACGCTAGCACTATCATTTCCAATGCATCCGATGGTTGCAAAAATTGAGAAATCTTCGATTTTTTTGAAGATTTTCTTCAACTGACACTCGAACTGACATAAGTGGAAAAATATTTAGTGTGAGAAGAATACCTTGTGGGCCCCAAAATCAGAATGATCTATTATAAATGTAACCCCCTGCTAACTTTTTCATTTGACGTTTTTGACAGAAGTGTCAAATACAAAAGTTTGAAGAAATTGTCAAAAGTTTTTAACTAAGTCACTTTTAGGCATACAGGGTGCGTCAAAAAAGTGCAGAAGCGTGAAGTTATATTTTTTTAAATGGAACATCCTGTATATTGTGCGCTTATTTGTTAGTCCCCTTTAACCTGTTTTCAACGATATAGGGTTTGATATGTCTATCTTCAACAGTTATAGGGAAAAACATGAAAACCCCTTTTAAGGTTTCATATTGAAAAAAGGAAAATTATACCATTTAAGCTTTAATAGCTATTTTCCTAACGAGTGCGGAAATTTCTTTCCGCAAGAGTTAGGAACTATATTTTTTCTACGAGCATACTAAAGCTGATGTTACGAGAAGTTCAATTTAAATAAAATGCGATTGTGCAGAAGGTAGAATTAAAAATGTATTGAAAGGTATTTATAAAAAAAGGCAAAGGTATTAAAGGTAAAGGTATAGGTGTATCAACAATACAAACAATTCCATGTCACAATGATTATTTCAAACTCTTCCCGCATTGAGTGCGGGAAGAAATCTCTTCCCGCACAGCAAATCGTGAGGGAAGAGTTATTTCCCGCACGCTCGTAGAAAAAGATTTTTTTTTATTATCAGTTTATTGTTCAAATTTGATTCATTAATATACAGGGTGGTTTATTTTCAATAGTTTGGTAGGGTACAGCCAAAATGGCCGAAGATACTGAGAAACTGATATACGCTTCCCGTCCTCCTTTTTAGTGTGTCATTTGATGGTGTAGTCAGATCTTGGCCGACAATATTGGTTTGCGAGGTACAGGGTGTTTTTCAAAATCAGCTGTTTTTTATAATCCTCTATAACTTCTTACCCGACGGAGATATAGAAAAAGTGCAAAAAAGAAAAAATACGTCTTTTTTTACGTAGAATCCAGTGGTGTACTAAGAAAAAATATGGGGGCTTTATCTTCTGAGATATTTGAAAAAACAAAGATTTTTCAAATGGAACATCCTGTATCTTATTGATTCAGTAGTTTGAGAAAAAAATTGCGAGTTCGACGACATATAACACATGATATTTTGTTTTGGTCTAAATGGCGAAGACAACAAAAAACACTTTTTTCTACAAAGGTTACTACAAGTGTCATTTTTAACGGATGCTGTCGGTGTCTTAGATGCCATTTTATGACACTGGTGTTAAAAGTGATTACTTTTAGTCATAGGCGCCGGAACCATGGGGGCAATGGGGGCTTGAGCCCCCGTAGTGAATTTACTATAGTGATTTTGGTATTGTATGTAATGGGTGCAGGGCCGGATTTAGGCACAGGCAACCGAGGCAACCGCCTAGGGCGCCATGATTAAGGGGCGCCAAATTGCAAACAAATTTATTTTAAGTAAAAGAAAAATTGAAGATCTAATAACATTGTGCGCTAATATTTCATTTACGTGTCATCAGGGCCGGTTCAATAGCTATAACCTTCGACCATGAACACACTCCATAGTTATAGCATGTTCTCACATAAATCACAAACCAGTCAGAGCGTTTTTGATTGGTGCAAATCGCCAACAACCAGTTTTCTGACTATTTTTCATTCAATGAAATTCGCTCTGACTGGTTTGTGATTTCTATGAATGAGAATAGACCTACATCTCTGACATTAGCTTTGTTTTGGTTTGAAATTTGGAACGTTTCTGGGATTGCGCAGAACTGCTTGCGCACAAAAAATATTGGAGGACTGTTCGAATACTAGTTCTGAACCGATTCGAAACCAAAAAAACCAAAATACGCCGAAAATCACAAAATTCCAAAACAATTCCTCCTTCAGAGCAAGAACTGAGAGAACCGTTCTAGAACAATCCCAGAATTGTTCTTAAATAGTTCTAGATAAACCAAAACAGTGTCAACACAGTACGCATGTTGTTTTATTCAACTGTTGAAGCAACGTTGGCAGCGTTGAGCATCTGAGCGTTGTTAAATACAACAAAAGAACAGTCGATGCTCCATCATAAGTGTTGTTTTTTCCATCAGCGTTTTACGATGGCTACACCGTTGGAGCCACCAAGCCAACGATGTTAGGAGATGGTTTTTAGCAGTGTTGTCGCATTGACTTATGAAAACTTTGAATTTACTACGTTTGTGTCTGAACGTTTATTAAAAGTTTTCTACCCGTTGTTTTATCCATCAACTCACCGGCACAAGAACGAGCCAACAATTCTCTGATGACCAACAGCCAGACAACGTTGCCAACACAATGGTGAATAAAATAACATGCGAAGTTCTATTACGATTCTGAAAAAATAAAAACGCGCCTTATAATATGCGCATGTGCAGAACTAGTTCTGAGTCGAACCAAAACAAAGCTAATGCAAGATGTAAAGTCAGAAGGGATTATTTTTATTGTTTAATAATTTAATTACTTTAAAAAAATTATTTTTGTATCTAGTTCAAATTTGAAAAATACATATACCTACAGTATAGGTCTGTTCAGTCTGTTCTTACAAAAGTCACAAACCTATGAACGTATGAACGAATTTCTTTGGTTGAAAACAGGTTGTTGGCGATTTGCACCAATCAAAAACTCTCTGGTTTGTGATTTCTATGAGAACAGAAATTCATTGTTTATCATATTTCTTTTTAAGAACAAAAAGTGGTGGGGGGGAAGGGGGCGCCAGAATTGAGCTTTGCCTTGGTATATAATAGCTATTGGACCGGCCCTGAGTGGGTGTAGTGAGTAGGTACAAAAATATTGAGTTCCTGATCCTAACATTCCTAACTATTTATTTTTATGTCAAACTTGTGTGTTTTATGTTTTTGTTGTTTCTGCTATACCGACTTTGATGAACAGTTTGAATATTTTTCTGTTTAGTATAGTATGGTAAATTTTAGGGGCCTTAATACAAAATGCTTAGATGACAGATACCCATTACCCAACATAAAGGATCTCTTGAACAAGCTGAGACGCTGCCAGTATTTCATCACCTTATGCCGGTTTTCCACCAAACCGACAAAACAAAAACAAAACTTAAACTCAGACAAAACTATAACTTTTCCCAAATATTTTCAAGATTAGCGTGTTTTGCGACAGTTGGAGTTTTGTTTTTCGGGTTAATTTCGACATGTTTTAAAACACAAACTCAACAGTCCGTTTGGTGGAAAACCGGCATTAGATTTAGCTAGCGGCTTCCACCAGATCCAAATGCATGAAAACGACATCCAAAAAACCGCATTCAGCACAGAAAACGGGCATTATGTATTCTTGCGCATGCTATTTGGTTTTAAGGACACGCCTGCTACATTCCAAAGAGTTATGGATGATATTCTATATCCCAATATATTGAGCAATTTTAACACCGAAAGATATAACATTGCATTAATAATAATTAGTTATTATACAAGGGAAAAAAACTATTAGATTCTAGAGCGAGATGTGGTTTGCCTCCCGTCGCGAAGCGGAGGGAGACGTAACAAGGTGGTCAAAGAGCGCTGGGAATGCTGGAGGTGGAATAGGGGAAATCGTTATCTTTCGTTCTCTATTCAACCTTAGAGTTTTTCTAGACATTTCATTCTATTGCATTAAAATTGGCCTGTTGTTATGACTTGTTAAACCTGTATATAGGTAGTTCATTTTTTGCTTGGGCTTCAAGCTATTTGCAAACCGTAGTTCAAAGTTTGCTGATTGCATTTTACGGTAAACTGTAGATGCTACTGAGGATTTGTACCTCATTACTTCGTCATGGCTACAACAAACTCCAAAGCCATACAGAAAATCAATAAGTTGTCTTGATGAATTAGGCGTGATGAAGTGTTACCAAGAGACACTTGTAGTTATATACGTTTTAATAAGTAGTTAGATTATTTCCTTTCCGTTTGCATGATGTACGATAATGACACTGGCCTTTTCCGCTCGATAAACAAAAACACTTATTGTACGTATTTTTGTATTTACCTACTCGATACTCACCGGTTTGAGTTAACAACTATTTTTATTTTGAACATTTGGAACAATTTTCATTAAAATTATAGTGTAAATGGCAGGTCCAGTAACTCTAGAGAACATTAAATCACTTTTAGTGGAAAACTCGAATAGTGTGAAATCTGAACTAGTGCGAAAATTGGATGACATTTTTCAAAAGCATTCAAAGAAGAACAAAAAACAATACGAAGAACTTAGTGAACAGTGCTTGAAACTTGAACGGAGAGTACGTAAAAACAATATTTTGATCTTTGGTTTCACTCCAGAGACTTCAAATAACATTTATAATGAAACGGTGGAAAAACTAAACTCACTATTAAGTTTAAACTTGAGTTTAAAAGAAGTGAATAACATTTACCGACTTGGAAACAAGGAAAATTCGCCCATCGTAGTTGAGTTTTTATCATTCATTAGAAAACTAGATATATTTAAGGATAAAGAAAAATTAAAAAACCTGAAAAATTTAAAAATATCAATAGCCAACGATCTTTGCCCCTCTGATAGAGAAGAACAAAAGATATTACTGAAACATCTCAGGAAAAATAGAGACAATAATATCGAATGCACAATCAAAGGTTTCAAGCTTCAAATAGGAAATAATAGCTATTCTGCGAAAGACCTGGTGGAAGCTAACACTAACACTAACAGTGACACAGAGTATGACACGGAGGAAGATTCGCCTGATACAGAAGAAGAACGAAAAAATAACAAAGAAAAAACTCCAACACTAACAGAAAACCAAAAAAAGGAAAAAAAGAAAATACGTACACCCCCCAGTCCAGCTCACACTAGAAACCACGGGAAGAAACCAAGAAGACATCGATAACAATTTTATGTTTTATTAAACAAAAACAAATTATAGATTACTCGGATCACACCCAACATTATTTTAAGTTGAAAATATGTGGATAATTTATTGTATAACATAACAGTCTGATTTAAAAATATATACATACAAAACCTATATACCTACACACCTGAAGAGTGAGGGTGATTTAAATTCTCACGATGGAGTTATAGTTTATTTGAAAGATAATATACCATATAATTATAAAATTGAAAAAATTGGTATGCAGAGGAGTATTTTGTTGTCACTTAAGTTTTTTGGATTATCCATAGATATTACAGGAATTTATAGATCACCTTCCACATGCGAAAAAGAGTTTGTTGAATGTTTTTCGAGATATATTAGGAATTCCAGTAAAAATAGTGACTTACACTTCATTTTAGGAGATATGAATATAGATATTTTAGGTAATTATCAAGAAAAAGAAGACTATTTGAACAGTTTATATGAAGAAGGTTTCATGTCCACTATAAATATAGGCACTAGACAGCAAAATGGTATTTTGAGCTGTATAGACCATATATTTTTGAGAAGGAAACCTCACATACACTGTTCGAAAACTATACCTGTTGTATTCGAATCAAATGTCACAGATCATTATATAACATTTTTACAATTGGTTTTTTCAGACAAGACTAGAACAAAGGACGAGCAACTGCAAAGAACTAAAACATTTTTCAATCGGAAAAAATTTATTGAAAACATTAAACACAAAACATGGGAGGATGTCAGGGCCGCAACTAGGGGGGGCGAACTAGGCACCCGCCTAGGGCGCCGGAGTATCGGGGCGCCGAAGGCGCCCAATTTAATCCATCCATATTTTACAATCCAAAAAAATGCAACGGTTTTACGCGTCATTTGTCGTAGCACGGAAATTTATTTTGCTTGTGTTACATCTCTCTTGGGCAACCATCAACAATACGAATATCGATGATAATCATATAAATTATGCTAAACAGAGTGCGCGTGCAAAAGGCAGCAGCGAATTGCAATGTCTGTGATAAATTCAAGTATTGATCACGAAGCGCCTAACATTTGTTAGCCAGAGATTATTAGCTTCGAGTCGAGCTTTGACCTGACCAAATTGAGTCAGAGCACTGTGGGCGACATGGGCGCCCTCTGCATGCTGCATGCATTACCTCTTTTGACTCTTTTCTATTTAGCCGTTTACGGAAACTATAATCGTGTTAACCCGATCAGCAGCTGAATGTTTTCTATCTTTCCTTAATGAATACGATTGAAAAAAGACAAAGTACGTCTGATGGCGATCGTGGTAACCCGATCATAGTTTCCGTAAACAGCTTTTACTTTTACAATAGCTTCGTTCGCGGCAAAGGTAGGATTTTTAACTATCCGGCATTGCGGTGTGCGGTAGCGTTGTGCGGCTTTGCGACGTGCCGGTGAGTTGTCTACTATGTTGTAACATCGAACTGTTTTGTTACCATGCGTTATGCGTCAACGGCACTGCGGCGTCGCAAGCTGTCTTTGCGGCGTGCCGCTGAAAAACTCCAAAATGTTTTTCGACGACACCGCACTAGTGTGCGACGCTCACAACCTGGCGAAATACTACAGTTTTGAGGCTTTGTTATTATATCCCCTTTAGGGCCAAATTATGGACTGACTGGTAAACGTCTGGTTGTTACCTAGCAGGTACTTTCTATGTACTAGAGAATAGAAAGTACCTGCTAGGTACCAACCAGACACTTACCAGTTGGTCCATAATTTGGCCCTTATAATATAGTAAAACAGGTCACGTGAAACTCTCAGGTATGCTTTAAATTGAGTTTCACTATCATTTAAGTGACGTTCAATGAAAATACGCTCCTTCTTGTGCACGATTTTTATAAATGTTTGATGTTTTACTGAGATTTTCACAGCAGTGAAATACAGCTTCCTCTTCTTCATTTTCTTCGAGCAAGAGAATCGCTGCAGTAGTACGACGAGTAGCCGATTCCATTTTTTGAACGCGACTTCAAAAATATTTGCCTGACAGTTAAAAAACAAATTTGCCGCCAACAGCATGCGGGTTGCGATATCCGCAACATCGCAGTACCGCACACCGCTGCCGCATACCGCAATGCCGGATAGTTAAAAATCCTACCTTAAGTATTCTAAACTGCGACCTTATTCTTGACTTTCTCTCGAGAGAAAATTTGATTATGTTGACAATTAAACAGTGCATTAACTGTTAACAATGTCAAATTTTCTACCTAGGTAAATTCAAGAATAACGCCTCGGGTTGGAAACTATTTCGCATGCGCAATTTAAGTAATGGCGTTCGCGGATCACAAAATTGCGAACTTTTAGTTACGGTTCTAGATTCGTCTATCAGCCAGAATCGGTTCGGAACCGTTTCTGAACCACTTCTAGCGGTCCTAGGAATTCAGCAAGAACTTCAGGATTGACACATAACGTTCGTTTTTCTACTGACATTTCATAATACGCTATTAAACGATTAAAATCTGTATCATAATGAACTTCATTATGATACAGATTTTCATTATAATACTGATTTTTAATATCATACAATGTAGATAGATGGCACCACCAGTTAAGATATTAAACATTTTGAACGGTAATTTTGAGTAAAACAATTATTTTGATGACTATAAAAAAGACTTCGAATTGTTTAAAAGTTATCTAAAGTTTGGGACAAAGAATAATTATTACGGAAATAATTAGTGATAAGGAAGAATTTTTACTTTTTTCATTATCATACATTATTGTCAATAGATGGCGCCAGCAGTTAAGAAATTTTGAATTATTTTTTTTTTTGAATGTTGACAGCACTCTGTTTATAGTTTTTCCATGGTAATTTAGCGAAAAACAATAATTTTATTAAAAAAAATACTTCAAATTGTTATTAAAAGTCACCTAAAGTTTGGGATGAGGCATTATTATGGAAATATTGAGTGATAACGAAGAATTTTCATTAACACCTCTAGAAATTACATAAAGGGCGACAAATGCAGGTAATAAATATACTACCGGACAAGTCCAAGAAAATTTACGAAAAATTATATGGACAATTTATGGATTGGAAACACCAAAAACACATCGTCCTTCTCAGAAAATGTTTTGATAGTATATTTTGAAGAATTACAACAAAAAATGAAACCTTCAACTGTATGGACGCATCACTCAATTATAAAATCTCTATTCAAAGTTAAGCATAATGTTGACATATCTAAAAATCATAAGTTTTATCAATGGCAGTAGAAAAAATAGTGTATGCAACTCTCATGTAATGGCCATTAATACACTCGCATGTTATATACGAAACTCGCCTGCGGCTCGTTTCGTATCCTACAACATGCTCGTGTATTAATGGCTATCATTACATGATCATTGCATAATATACTATTACGCATTAGCCCGGTATTCATAGACGGGTGCTTGGCTCAAGCTCCGATTTTTGACAGTTGTGAGCATCGTTCCGTGCTGTTTGGAAACGTAAATATGGCGTCAAGGCACAACCTTGAGCATCGACTAAAATCTGTTTTTTTTTAAAAGATAAAAGTCAAAATGACATTATGTTGGCAATACAATGCAAAATTGTCAAGCTTTCAAATTTTTTATGTAGAAAAGGCTTGTGTTGCCAACATATTTACTAAATTTTTGACTTGGGGAATTATCTTTAAAAAAAAAAACACACTTTATGAATACGGGCCTTAAGGCCGTTTTACAGCTTGCAATTCTATCTGCAATATGCAAGAAACTTGAACGAAAGCATGCGCAGAAGTAAATCAGCTGATTGTTTTCTGCAAGATTCTTGAAACTTGAATGGCATTGCATGCAATCGGTTTGGTGCCATTTTTCTTGAAGGTTTTAGCGCAAGCTGGGGAATTTTTAGCAATTATGATGCTTAAAGTGGCTGTTATTGCATTCTTCTTTTTATATCGATTTATTTTCACGTTTTTCATTTTTGGAAAATACAAACATCAACAAAACAAAATTAAAAACACAAAAGTATGTATGGTTAAGGTTAGAGGAAGAAACAAGTCAAATTGCAAGGTGTAAAACGACGTGCAAGAAATCTTGAATGCAATTTTGTTGCATGTAAAAAATTGCATTCAAGTTTTCTTGCTAGCTGTAAAACGGCCTTTAGACAGTCTGGAGAACCTGTTCCAAAACTGTTCGCGATAAAATAATGGCGTTTTCCATTTGCTGCACGGAGGTGCAGTCAGTGCAATTTTTACATTTCATTTGACTGCACATTATCAGTTTTTATTTTCCATTTGAAATCCAGTGCAATTATGTATGCACTCAGTGCGCATTTTTTGGCACGAGCTAGGAATAGGAGTGTAGTTTGTTTTGTTTTTGTTTACATGTACCGTAAATAAAAATTTTAAAAGTTTCTGCTTATATTACCAAAGAAAAAGCTGCTGATATTTCAAGCAAAAACCAAAGCAAAAAATATATCTATTGTTACTTTTGAGAAGGCGGTAGAGGGGCGCCAAAATTTGGACTTGCCGAGGGTTCTAGTTGCGGCCCTGGAGGATGTATACCAAGAACAAAATGTAAACATTAGTACAGATAACTTTATTAATACGATTAAAAAAAACATAGAAAATTGCACAAAAGTCTCCAAAATAAATTTTACCTTGAAAAAAGAGTCATGGATAACTTTTGGATTAATTAGATCTATCAAAACAAAAAATAAACTCTTTAAAAAATATTTAAAAGACCCAACAGATCAAAATGTGAGAGAATACAAAACCTACAGAAACAAATTGAACTTACTTATTAAAAATACAAAGGCTGAATATTATCAAAAACAAATAAAAAATGATAATTGCTCAAAAGAAATATGGGACACGGTTAATAAAATTTGTGGGAGAAAGAAAAAAACCGAAATAAAAGAACTAAAAAATGAAAATGGAGAAATACTAATGGAAAAGCAACAAATTGCAAATTATTTTGTTAACTATTTTACAAATGTCGGAGAAACATTAGCAAAAAATATAAAAAGATGTACACAACAAAATACTAATGAACCACAATCAAATATAAAACAATATATGAATCCTCAACAAGTAAACAATGAACAACAAACAAATAATAATAAAAAGTTTTGTTTAAAGAGAACAAATTGTAAAGAAATAATAGAGACGATAAAAGAATTAAAAAAGAAAAAATCTCCGGGATATGACAAAATCACAGCTGAGTTAATACAATCAGTATCAGAAGATATCGCACAACCTTTAAAATGTATAATTAATAGGTCTTTCAAAGCAGGAATATGTCCAAATTCATTCAAAACAACAATAATAAAGCCTTTGCATAAATCTGGAGACAAAACAAATGTCTCCAACTATCGACCTTTGTCTTTGATAACAAATTTTACTAAAATTTTCGAGAAACTAATAAAAAAACGCTTGACAACTTTTCTGGAAAGTCAGAATATATTGGCTGAAAAACAGTATGGCTTTAGGCAAGGAAGATCGACAGAAGACGCAATAGAGAATGTAACAACTCATATTTATAGAGCTTTGGATCGAAGAAAGCCTTCTCTGGCAGTTTTCATCGACCTTTCTAAAGCATTCGATACAAGTAGAACATGATATACTCCTAGAACAGATTCGAGCCATTGGAGCAAACGAACCAGCCCACAGGTTATTCAAGAATTATTTATCTGACAGAAGTCAATTTGTAGAAATGGAGAACACAAAAAGTAACAAAAAAACAATAACATGCGGGGTACCACAAGGAACAGTACTGGGCCCAATATTATTCAAAATATATGTACACAATCTCTTTAAACAAAATATTGATGGGGAGATAACAACCTACTGTGATGACACGGTGGTTAGGTTTGAAGGAGATGACTGCGACGAAGTTAAACAAAAAGCTGAGAAAGAACTACAAAAAATGTTTCATTATTTTCAAAACACTGTAAACTACAGTAAAACTTATTTCATGCCATTTTCGTCATACTCAACAAATTTGCCAAATTTTGAAACCTTAACTATCTTCGATCAAAACCTATGTAAGTGCGAAAAAATCAAAATTAAGAAAATCTTAAAAATTAAATATCTCGGACTTTTTATTGATTGTCATTTACGATGGGACGCCCACACATGTTATGTTACCAAAAAAATTAGATCATTGCTTTACAAAATAAAACACTTGCATAAATATTTCAAACTATCTCAGCTTAAAATTATATACTCAGCATTAATTGAACCACACATTACTTATGGTATCATAGGATGGGGTGGCGTAACGAACAATTATCTGGCTTGTTTGGAGAAAGTTCAAAAGTGGTGTTTGAAAATAATTCACAAGAGACCATTTCTATATCCTACTGAAGCCTTATATGAAGAATCTAATGTCTTTGATACAAGAAAATTATTTTGTCTTCATCTTATTATTAGAAAATATAAAAATAAAGCTAGTCTGGAAACATTGAAACATAGATATAACACTAGGAGAAACAATGTATTATTTAGAATTCCAAGAGCAGAAAAGACTCAAACCCAAAGAAGTTATTATTTACTAGCACCAAAAATTTACAGCTACATTCCGGAAAATATAAGACAGCTTCAAAGACCAAAAATATTTAGAAACCAAATAAAATCATGGCTAAAAAACCTCCCCAGACTGGTAGTACATAGCTGGATAGACCTAAAAAACATATTACAATAAATAGGAAAAAAAATATATATATACATATATCAAATTGTAAACTCAAATAATAGACTAAAATAAAAAAATTGAAAAGTAAAAATAAAATAAAAATACGAGCAAAAACAAATGACATTACACACATATTGATTTAGACGCTTTCACGATAATGACCTTTTACCCGATATAGACATTCTAAACCAAATTGTGACCTTTTTTCCCGATTTAGACATATCAGATTTAATTTAAATAGAACTTTACTATGCTATAGTGAATAATTCAAAAATGTGTTTAACAAATTATTATCCATTTTCTTTAGTGGGTAGGATTATAACATTTATTTTCAAGATTTATTTCATATAGTTTATAGAGAAAAAAAAATATTTGTTAAGTAGTTATAAGGATTTATAGAGTAAGGAAGTCAGTATTTTATACATGTTTATACTCTGTTTTGACGAACGTAAATTAATATTCTTTTTTTGCAAACAAGCCTCTAAGGCTTTATAATGCATGAGAATGTTTATTTGCAGTCCTTTAAGAGATAGATATTAAGAAAGTATACTGTATTCAACTAGGAAACTGTTAATAAATATTATTTGATTTGATATTTGATTTGATTTCAACCTAGTTTATCATGGAAAATGTATATACAGACCGGACAAACCTACTAGATACATAGGGAGTAATAAGTCGAATTGGCTTGTAGCCAGCCAAGGCAAATCGAATCGGCATTTGCCCCCCCCCCCAAAGGCCTTCAAATTTCATTAATAATTCAAAATGGAAAATAATCAAATACATACATTATAATAATATATATAACGTTCTACTAAATTCTCATCAAAATTTGTTGAAATAGCCGCATTTCCGCTTCCCCCATCATCAGAAGTCCCAAAAATACTTTAAAAAGACCCAAAAATTTCGCGGCTACGGTGCTTCTCTTGCGGCAAAGCTAACACTGCTGCAAGGATCACTTCTTACAGCTTTGCCCCTTCCCCAAGACAAAATTCTGACTACGCCAATGGTGCTGTCGAAGCCGAGTATAGCCGAGCTGCCGAAGATGCACGAATTTCAATAATATGAAGGAACCTGCAGGTAGATCAAAGATCCAGCGTGGCGATCCTGCAGTGAAATGGGTATCTGTCAACTAGACCCATTTAAGTCTATATGTCTAGTAGCCTAGTCCTGTCTGTCTAAAATTGTAATTTTATTTCAGAAAAATTTTTTAAAAAAAATTGAAGGAAAAATTTCGAAAAAAGAAAAGTTTCAGATTTTTTTTTTTTGAAATTAGTCCGGTAAGAAAATTCCGGAATGTTTCTTTTTCGAAATTTATCCTTTAATAAAGCATCCAAAATTAAATAAAATTCCAGATTTTCTTTTCTCCAATTTGTTCAGAGAGAAAAATCCAATTTTTTTTTTCAATTTTTGAAAGAAAATTCCAAAATTTTTCATTTTTAGAAAGAAAATTCTTGATTTTTTTATTTTTTGAAAGAAAATTCCAGATTTTTTTCTATTTTTATTTTTCCCCTAAAAGTTTTTTTTTTGAAATTTTTCCTGAAAGAAAAATTACAATTATTTTATAAGTATTTTTTGAAAAAATATTCCAGATTTTTTTATTTTTTGAGAGAAAATTCCAGATTTTTGCCTTTTTGGAAATTTGTCATTTTTCTTTTAATTTAAAACTCTGGAATTTTCTTTAAAAAAATAAAAAAAATCAGGAATTTTCTTTCAAAAATTGAAAAAAAATTAGAATTTTCTCTCAGGAAAAATTGAAAAAAAGAAAATAAAAATCTGGAATTTTATTTCAGGAATATATATTTTTGAACAAAAATTTTGGATGCTTTTTTGAAGGATAAATTTCGAAAAAGAAAAATTCCGGAATTTTCCTTCCGGACTAATTTCAAAAAAAAAAACCGTGCGTCATAATTCACATTCGTGAAAAAAGGTGCTATACGCACATACAAAATTTTTTCTATTACAATCAAATATGTGTAAAAAAATGTATTTTCGCCATTTAGACTAAAACAAAATATCATGTGTTATGTATCGTTGAACTCCATTTGAAAAATCTTTGTTTTTTCGAATATCTCAGAAGATAAAGCTCCCATATTTTTTCTAAGTACGCCACTGGATTCTGCGTAAAAAAAGACGTATTTTTCTTTTTTGCACTTTTTCTATATCTCCGTAGGGTAAGAAGTTATAGGGGATTATAAAAAAAACAGCTGATTTTGAAAAACACCCTGTACCTCGCAAACCAAACTTGTTGGCCAAGATCTGACTACACCATCAAATGACACACTAAAAAAGAGGACGGTAAGCGTATATCAGTTTCCCAGTATCTTCGGCCATTTTGGCTGTACCCTATCAAACTATCGAAAATCAACCACCCGTACAAGGTGAAATATTATAATAAATCCAGATGTCTAAGCTATTATTTTTATTTAAAAAAAAATAACATGAGAAACCTAGGAAGGAATTTTCGTATTTTTACCTATAACTATTGGAGATAAACCAAGGGATAAACATATCAAACCATATATCGTTGAAATCAGGTTAAAGGGGACTAACAAATAGGCGCACAATATATAGGGTATTCCATTAAAAAAAAAAACTTCACACTGCAGCACTTTTTTGACGCACCCTGTATGCCTAAAACTAACTAGTTAGAAACTTTTGACAATTTCTTGAAACTTTTGTATTTGACACTTCTGTCAAAAACGTCAAATGAAAAAGTTAGCAGGGGGTTACATAATAGATCACCCTGTACCTATTTTATGATTTAAATTTTGGAAAACTTTGAAATGTCGTAGCTTTTTTTTTATTATAGATAGAAAGCTGAAATTTTTACTGAAATTTATCTCAAGAAAGGGACTACAATCTCTGAATTTCAGCCTATTTACACTTATAGTTCCTGAGATAAAATCGTGTTAAGCAATTTGGGGTGATTTATCAATTTTTCAATTTTTCTGAGTGCCTTTATTCATAGATTTCGGCTTCAAATCTGAGAATAATTTAGTGTATGGAGTTTGGGGTATATTGATTGACCATTAGGATACAAAATTTGAAATTTCATCGTTTCAGTAAGACTTTCTGATGACAATTTTTAGATTCTGATAAAGATTTTGTCCCAGAATGTCCTTTTTCTTACAGAGTTTTTCTATAATGTCTTCAACAAGCGAAATCTGAGCCAAAAAAACCTCTTATAGACTGAAAGAGTTTTTTTTGGGACACAAAAACCTTCATTCACCGTTAAACATTAACCCAAACTAACCAATGGAATACCATCCAAAGATGCACCATTAATTCGTGTAGGTAGACACCTGAAGTTTATTTTAATATTAGTAGTTCAATTAACAGAAACCTCTTCCGGAACTATTCAGTACAATAATATCATCGGTCATGCCATTACCATCTGTCCGACAAACCAAACATATAATGCAACTAAAAAAAATCCATTTTGGGATACTAAACAACCTTCGCCGCATAACAGAAGTAGGTAGGTATGACGTAATCAAAACCACCATCAACCGGGACAAAAATAAAATGTTCTTGTCCCCACGCCAACTTTGTTATTCAGCCTCAAGTCTACCTTTGTAAGGTAAGACGTCGACGGTACTTGCACGAGAATACCTATTACCCACGTAATTTTTTCCTTTTTTTTTTTTGGGTTGGTGTGGTACCGAAAAGTGAGAGTAAAAACTTTATTGTGCCTATGTGCGTGTTGTTGGGTGATGTGCGATTCGAAGGGACTCGAAAAGGAATACCTTTTGGAATTTAAACGGTAGGTATGCTAGGAATTTTGTTTGATGGTGATGACGCATTGTCAAGGATTTGTTGTCTCAAGTTAGATTTTTTATGTAACACTCGAAAAATTGACATTTTTAACAACAAGAAACTACTTTCTATAAGACTAAACGGGACCGAATACCTCATAAATAATATAATATATTCTATGTATGAAGTAATCAAATGTAAATTACACAATTATATAGTTGAAACGCAATAAGTATCATGGTTTTTTAAAAGCAAATTGTGACTATATTTGGGTTAGTTCACCCATGAACATAAGCAGTCAAATTTTAGCATTTCTGCGTCAGATGAGATTAGACAGTAAAAACAAGAAAAACTTCTTATAAAATATAACAGCATCAGGTCGCGATAATGTTTCTATTATTATTATTATCATTCTTATGGCACCGTTAGGAAAACAGGCATTAAAACTGTAGTTGGAGAGCGTAAAAATGGTTACAACTAGACTAGAAAAGGTAACAGAACACTGAGTGGAGTACGAAACTTTGATAGGTACTTTAATAATTACGTACCTATTACCGTTGATAAGAGTCACTATGTAACTTGGTTGAGTTAAGTAGTAGATATATATATTTTTTTTATAATGTTAGGCTGAAAACGAAATTTCATTATCTAAGTATAAGGTAATACCTATGTAGGTACAGTATATGTTTCCAAAATCTGAGAACGGTCAAATATTTCCAGAGCGGCTTCAATTCCATAATCATAATTTTGAGCCATATATGCCCATAATGTATTTTAGAAAAGTCTTAATTATGTATTTTAGATTGAAGCAATTGTATTTTAGAAACACCTTATGAATTTTAGAAACAATCATTTGAATTTGAGAAACGTTAAATTGAACTTTAGTTTACATGTAGGTATGTATAAATACTTACAGAGATGGACATCTTTTGTTGTAAATTTGGCATATAAGAGGGGAATTTTGAACAATTCAGCCAGTATATTAGATCAGATGTAGATTCATATGGGGATTTCTCAAATACAAATGACTATTCTAAACTACAATTGAAGGTTTCTAAAATACTGTCGGAAAAGGTGTAAAACCCTCGGCACCCAAGGCCAATCGAAATTTCTGGCGCCTATACTACTTCTAGTATAAAGATACAGAATGATTAATATTTTATCATCTCCAGTTTTTAGCGTAGAAAATCTTTCACGAGAGCCGGTAATAAAAAACAATTTCACCCACTGCAATTGACTCAATAAAAATAAGCCACTGTATATAAAGCAAGGGGTAAACCACCATCCCAGAATTGGTGCAAACAATTCCTCTCGCAATTCCTCAAAGGGAAATTTTTCACGCATAATTCCTCAAAATTCCTACAAATTCCTCCAGATATCCCATCACAAATTCCTTCAAATATCACACCATGAACTTCTCCAAATACCCCACAAATTCCTCTAAAAAAAGGGAAAATTTTGAAACTTTATGCATGTAAAGAGGAAGGTGAGAAGATCATTTTCCCAAAATTTAAAATTTTTCCAGTAACATGAAAAATCTTGGAAATCAACCTACAAAACCTGAATAAGTTGAAAATACAGTCTCACACATTTCAAAGTTTTCCTGGAAAACTAGAGAAGGGAAAATTTTGAACCTTTTTACATGTAAAGAGGAAGGTGAGAAGCTCATTTTCCCAGAATTTCAAATTTTTCCAGTAGATAAATATAACATCAGGAATCTTGAAAATCAACCTACAATAACTGAATTTATCGAAAATACAGTCTCACATATTTCAAAGTTTTCATGGAACACTAGGGAAGGGAAAATTTTGAAATTTTTTGCATGTAAAGAGGAAGGTGAGAAGCTCATTTTCCCAAAGTTTCAAATTTTTCCAGTGAAAAATAACAACATGAAAAATTTTGGAAATCAACCAACAAAAACTGAATTAGTTAAAAAATACAGTCTGACACATTTCAAAGTTTTCCTGGAAAACCAATGAAAGGAAAATTTTGAAACTTTTTGCACGTAAATAAGAAAGGTAAGAAGCTCATTTTCCCAAAATGTCAATTTTTTCCAGTGAATCTTGGAAATCAACCTACAGAAACTAAATAAGTTGAAAATACAGTTTCACACATTTCAAAGTTTTCCTGGAAAACTAGTAAAGGGAAAATTTTGAAACTTTTTGCATGTAAAGAAGAAGGTGAGGAGCTCATTTTCCCAGAATTTCAAATTTTTCCAATAGAAAATTACGACATGAGGAATCTTGAAAATCAACCTACAATAACTGAATTAATTGAAAATATAGTCTCATATATTTCAAAGTTTTCTTGGAAAACTAGTGAAGGGAAAATTTTGATACTTTTTGCATGTAAAGAAGAAGGTTAAAAGCTCATTTTCCCAAAATTTCAAATTTTTCCAGTGAAAAACAGAAACATGAAAAATCTTGGAAATCATCCTACAATGACCAAATTAATTGAAAATACAGTCTTACACATTTCAAAGATTTCCTGGAAAACTAGTGAAGGGAAAATTTTGAAACTTTTTGCATCTAAAGAGGAAGGTGAGAAGATCATTTTCCCAAAATTTCAAATTTTTCCAGTGGAAAACAGCAACATGAAAAATCTTGGAAATTAACCTACAAAAACTGAATAAGTTGAAAATATAGTTTCACACATTTCAAAGTTTTCCTGGAAAACTAAAGAAAGGAAAATTTTGAAACTTTTTGCATCTAAAGAGGAAGGTGAGAAGATCATTAATTTTCCTAAAATTTCAAATTTTTCCAGTGGAAAACAGCAACATGAAAAATCTTGGAAATCAACCTACAAAAACTGAATAAGTTGAAAATACAGTCTCACACATTTCAAAGTTTTCTTGGAAAACTAGTAGAAGGAAAATTTTGAAACTTTTTGCACGTAAAGAAGAAGCTCATTTTCCCAAAATTTCAATTTTTTCCAGTGGAAAACAGCAACATGGAAAATCTTGGAAATCAACTTACAGAAACTAAATAAGTTGAAAATACAGTCTCACACATTTCAAAGTTTTCCTGGAAAACTAGTAAAGGGAAAATTTTGAAACTTTTTGCATGTAAAGAAGAAGGTGAGAAGCTCATTTTCCCAGAATTTCAAATTTTTCCAATAGAAAATTACGACAGGAATCTTCAAAATCAATCTACAATAACTGAATTAATTGAAAATATAGTCTCACACATTTCTAAGTTTTCCTGAAAAACTAGTAAAGGGAAAATTTTGAAACTTTTTGCATGTAAAGAAGAAGGTGAGAAGCTTATTTTCCCAGAATTTCAAATTTTTCCAATAGAAAATTACGACATGAGGAATCTTCAAAATCAATCTACAATAACTGAATTAATTGAAAATATAGTCTCACACATTTCAAAGTTTTCCTGGAAAACTAGTAAAGGGAAAATTTTGAAACTTTTTGCATGTAAAGAAGAAGGTGAGAAGCTCATTTTCCCAGAATTTCAAATTTGTCCAGTAGAAAATTTCGACATGAGGAATCTTGAAAATCAACCTACAATAACTGAATTAATTGAAAATATAGTCTCATATATTTCAAAGTTTTCTTGGAAAACTAATGTAGGGAAAATTTTGAAACTTTTTGCATGTAAAGTAGAAAGTTAAAAGCTCATTTTTCCAAAATTTCAAATTTTTCCAGTGAAAAACAGAAACATGAAAAATCTTGGAAATCAACCTACAATGACTAAATTAATTGAAAATACAGTCTCACACATTTCAAAGATTTCCTGGAAAACTACTGAAGGGACAATTTTGAAACTTTTTGCATGTAAAGAAGAAGGTAAGAAGCTTATTTTCCTAAAATTTCAAATTTTTCCAGTCGAAAACAGCAACATGAAAAATCTTGGAAATCAACTTACAATAACTGAACTAATTGAAAATACACAGACTCACACATTTCAAAGATTTTCTGGAAAACTAGTGGAGGCAAAATTTTGAAACTTTTTGCATGTAAAGAGGAAGGTGAGAAGATCATTTTCCCAAAATTTCAAATTTTTCCAGTGGAAAACAGCAACATGAAAAATCTTGGAAATTTAACCTACAAAAACTGAATAAGTTGAAAATGCAGTCTCACACATTTCAAAGTTTTCTTGGAAAACTAGAGAAGGAAAAATTTTGAAACTTTTTGCATGTAAAGGAGAAAGTGAGAAGATCATTTTCCCAGAATTTCAAATTTTTCCAGTAAAAAATTACAACATGGAATTTTGAAAATCAACCTACAATGACTGAATTAATTGAAAATACAGTCTCACACATTTCAAAGATTTCCTGGAAAACTAGTGAAGGAAAAATTTTAAAACTTTTTGCACGTAAAGAGGAAGGTGAGAAGATCATTTTCCCAAAATTTCAAATTTTTCCAGTGGAAAACAGCAACATGAAAAATCTTGGAAATCAACTTACAATAACTGAACTAATTGAAAATACACAGACTCACACATTTCAAAGATTTCCTGGAAAACTAGTGAAGGAAAAATTTTAAAACTTTTTGCATGTAAAGAGGAAGGTGAGAAGATCATTTTCCCAAAATTTCAAATTTTTCCAGTGGAAAACAGCAACATGAAAAATCTTGGAAATCAACCTACAAAAACTGAATAAGTTGAAAATACAGTCTCACACATTTCAAAGATTTCCTGGAAAACTAGTGAAGGAAAAATTTTAAAACTTTTTGCATGTAAAGAGGAAGGTGAGAAGCTCATTTTCCCAGAATTTCAAATTTTTTCAGTGGAAAATAACAACATGAAAAATCTTGGAAATCAGCCTGCAAAAACTGTATTCATTATTCTTTTGAATTTTTTAAATTTGACAATTTCGTTTATATTCCTCATAATTCCTCACAAATTCTCCCAAATTCCCCACAAATTCCTCCAAATTCCCTGTAAACTTCCCAAATTCTTATAAATTCGGATGAGTTCCTTCAAATTCCTCACAAATTCCTCTAAATTTCCCAGACATTCCTCTTAATTCCCCCACACTTTTGGCAAAGAATTCCTAGGTGGTTTGCCCCTTGATATATAAAGATACAGTTACAGAGTGATCAATATTTTATATTTTATTATTCCTGATTCTTGCAGGAAGTCTTGCACAAAAGCTGGTAATCGAAAACAATTTAACCACTGTGTAGAGATACGGGGTGATCAATATTTTATTATACCCGGCTCTTAATGTAGAAAATCTTTGACGAGAGCCGGTAATAGAAAACAATTTTACCCACTGATGTAATTTGAGTCAACAAAAATAAGTCACTGTATAAAAGATACAGAATAATAATTTCTGACATCTCAACTTTTCGGTATCTTTATTGGTGTTGTAAAAAAGTTGTCAATAGATTTTCAATCTTAAAGTAATAAGGTAAGAATGAGAGAGAAATCCGCATTCCCACCATTATCGCATTAGGTAAAGATCATATTTGGGATATTGAATCAAAATTTTCAAGAATTGTAGTTCCCATTAAGTTCTAGAAAATCTACTGTAAGTATTGGAAGATATTTTCAGTTATTCAGTCTGTTTCAACTTTGAGGTTTTTGAACTATCACACTCAATGTAGCACAGACTTATAGAAAATTTAATGCTGTATAGTTTATTTTGATTTGTAACACCCTGTATATGACAGAATTTAACTCAAAGACATATGGCGGTAAAATTACAAATTCACTTACCTTATATCATATCTATATGCCACATTGGTTTAGTGCATCTTATCAGCTGGATCTGAATCAGAATCTGGAAAAAAAATTAAGGCCAATGATTTACTTTTAGGGCATTATTAATTCAAAAACCAATGTTAATTGAAACTTTAATTTTTGCCTAAAGACACACAAAATATGTTGATTTTGAATAGAAATCAAGAGTTAGAAGAGCAATAATATTAGTGAAAACTTCTCATTTTCTCACTCTTCAATTCGTTGTTTCCGTATGATAGAAGTCTCTGTAGCAAGAATTCAATTTCAAAATTCCTAGTTCATAATAGTCATTAAACACGAAGAAGAGCCTACTTTTAATGATATGTTTTACGAGTTAATGAGCAAAACATGGTTTTCGTCCATCGACAAACTTTCTCCCCATTGTTTAAAACCATTATGTCGTGAGTAAAATTTATTATTCATAATAATTATTTCAGAAAAAATTCCTTCAAGCATCATACAAACCGTTAGCTTAAAAATGAAGTACATAAAATACGGAACTTTTCTTTGGATGTCTGTAAATCTTCAAAAAATTACAATTCTTTTATACTTTTGAATTTTTCTAGATGATCCAACAAAGGTAGCCGCAAACAAAAATGGTACGAAAAATTGGTAAGAACCATTACGTGGCGTCGCCTTTGCACCAAGAATCGCCTACTCCTGTTCACGTGACCAGGAGCGCCGCTTACTCAGACGGTGAGGACAGTCATCGGGCTCTATCTGATCGGACAGTATCAGAATATACTTCTGTGGTAAGTTGTCATTCTTAAATTGGATCAGAATAAATCTAACTTCTGTGGTAAGTTGTCATTTTCAAAGAGCCAATTACCTACTTAAGAAAAATTCCATAAGTCAGCATAGATGACTGCATCGCAGATGTTTCCATTTTGTCTCTCATCCAATATGGATATTCGGTATTTAGTTGCTTTTTGGTACTGGTACTTTTTGTACTTACTTTCGTCATCGATGACGTCATAATTTAGAAATCTCACATTTTACTATCACTTCTGCGCGATTCTAAATTCACTTTTCCGCGATTGTAAAGCCACTTTTCCGCAAATATTACCTCACTTTTTCACGAATTCACACTCAATTTTTTCGAAATTTTTGACTATTTTTTCCGCGATTCTTACCTCATTTTACCGCGATTGTTTCCCTACTTTCCGCGATTTTATCTTCACTTTTCCGCGAATTTGACCTCACTTGTTTTGTGATTTTTGAATAATTTTTTTTGCAATTTTTGACTCATTTTTTTGCGATTTTACCATCACTTTTCCGCAATTTCAAAGTCCAAACTCACTTTTTCGCAATTTCAACAAATTTTTCCGCGAATTTTGCCTCACCTTTCCGTTATTCTTGCCTGATTTTTCAATAAGTATAACCTCACTTTTCCGCGATTTTCGCCTCACATTTCCGCAATTTCAACCTAATTTTTCCAAAATCTTTAATTTTGTTTTTCGTATTTTTCTGTAATTTTTACTTCTATTTTTTGTAATTCTAATGTCAGTTTCCTGCGATTTTGACACTCACTTTTTCGCAATTTTTGAAAAGTTACGGAAATTACGGAAAATTACTGGAATTATAAAAATAAGGAGAATTACGAAAATTACAGGAATTACGAAAATCATGAATTTTTGAAATTATGAAAATTACAAAACTTGGGGAGAATTCAAAAATAACGAAGTTTTTTAAAAAATTAGGAGAATTAAAAATAGGTATAAAAAATTACGGGAATTACGAAAAAATTATGATTTTTGAAGCTATGGGAAAATTACGAAAAAGTTAAGTACGGAGGAATTACGAAAATTATGAGTTTTTCGAAAATGCAAAAACTAAGGGTAAATTGACTTTTTTAAGCAAAACTCATTTTTTTTACATTTATTTTTTTTCTAGAAAACTGGCAAAAGGATAATTGTAAAAATTTTCCAGAAAAAAAAAGGAAAGTGAGGATTTCATTAAAGCAAAATTTCAAAATCATTCCAAGGAAAGTTCTAGAAAATTGACTTTTTTAAGCAAAATTCATAATTTCACATTTCAATTTTTTCTGGAAAATTAGCAAAGCAAAAATTGTGAAATTTTTCCAAAAGAAAAAGGAAACTAAGGAACTCATTATGAAAAAAATTCAAAATTTCCCAGTAAAAAATTTTGGAAAATTGTCTTTTTCAAGTAAAATTAAGGAAGATTTATCCTTTAACATTTTAATTTCTTTCTGAGAAACTGGCAAAGGAGAAATTTGAAGCCTAGTTGCGCTTATGAGTTATGTTACCGGCTCTTGATTCTCTGAAAAACGTACCCAGTGCATCCAAGCGCCGCCACTGATCAAGTGCCGGGAATATTTAGAATATGCTATTCAAATGTGTGTACCTATATTCTTATTTTTTAGCCATATACGATAGTAAACGAACGAAACAATCGACCAGGCTACACAAGCAGCAGTCCCCGAAACAACGTCTACAATTCTTCCAGAGCCCCATCAGCTTTGAGTAAAAACAGCAAATACGATGACACAGGCTCAGACATTTACGTCACTAGTGGAGCTTACAAAGCCCCGTCTGAAATCAGGTTTGTATGTCTAAAACCATAAACTAACTTGAGAATTTACTGTTTTTGTTTTTCAGTCGCAAAGCTCAAAGTCACTACTCATACCGATCAGGTGCAGCTCCTTCTGTAGCTAGCAGAACGAGTAGGAGCACAGCGAAAACCGGCCGAGGATCCAGAAAAGCTGGAATGACTATAGAAACAATGGCAGCTCCGAATCCTTTTTGTCCCAACATAAAAGGCATGTGCTGTCTAATGCTGCTATTGAATTTGGGCATTATATTAGTAACCCTCGGTTTTGTAATCGTCATCCAGTTTTTTGAGCCTCTAATTGTTTGGTAACTACTTATGATTATCTACAATCAATCAATTCTTATTATTCAAACTATAGGGTCTTTGGTTTAATCTTTCTCATCTTTGGATTCCTCACTCTCATTGGAAGTTTGATCTACTGCGTGGTTATTTGCAAAGATGTTAAATCGCCAAGCCAAGTGAATCCGGATGAGCTCTATTGGACGCATCACTGGTCGAAAACGATAGGGGCTTCCCCGGAAATTCACTACAAAGTTGAAGAAAAGTACGGAGACGACAGATACAGCGATCGCTATTCGGTTAGCAAGTTGTCCGGCAAGTATTCGGACCGAGGGGATAAGAATGGACGTTATTAATTACTGATTTTCATTTTTTTTGTTTTGTGATTAAACTTAGATTTTAGGTGTGAAATAATTTTGTACAAAATATTTTAAAATAATAACATGATAACTTATGATTTGAGTTTTTTTGTCGGTTCTCAGTACGTACTACTTTCTGCTAGTGAGGCAAAATTTCAGCTCATTTGCACTTATAGTTCCTGAGATAAAATCGTGTTAAGCAATTTGGGGTGATTTATCAATTTTTCAATTTTTCTGAGTGCCTTTTTTCATAGATTTCGGCTTCAAATCTGAGAATAATTTAGTGTATGGAGTTTGGGGTATGTTGATTGACCATTAGGATACAAAATCTCGAAAAAAAAAATTTTGAAATTTCATCGTTTTAGTAAGAAGGTATCACCTACCTTATGATTTAGATTTTGGAAAACTTTGAAAAGTCATAACTTTTTTTCTATTATAGATAGAGAGCTGAAACTTTTACTGAATTTTATCCCTTTCAAAAGACTACAATCCCTGGAAATTTCAGCTCATTTGCACTTATAGTTCCTGAGATAAAATCGTGTTAAGCAATTTGGGGTGATTTATCAATTTTTCAATTTTTCTGAGTGCCTTTTTTCATAGATTTCGGCTTCAAATCTGAGAATAATTTAGTGTATGGAGTTTGGGGTATGTTGATTGACCATTAGGATACAAAATCTCGAAAAAAAAAATTTTGAAATTTCATCGTTTTAGTAAGAAGGTACCTACCTTATGATTTAGATTTTGGAAAACTTTGAAAGGTCATAACTTTTTTTCTATTATAGATAGAAAGCTGAATCTTTCACTGAATTTTATCCCTTTCAAAGGACTACAGTCCCTGAAATTTTCAGCTCATTTGCATTTATAGTTCCTGAGATAAAATCGTGTTAAGCAATTTGGGGTTATTTATCAATTTTTCAATTTTTCTGAGTGCCTTTTTTCATAGATTTCGGCTTCAAATCTGAGAAAAATTTAGTGTATGGAGTTTGGGGTATATTGATTGACCATTAGGATACAAAATCTCGAAAAAAAAAATTTTGAAATTTCATCGTTTTAGTAAGAAGGTACCTACCTTATGATTTAGATTTTGGAAAACTTTGAAAGGTCATAACTTTTTTTCTATTATTGATAGAAAGCTGAATCTTTCACTGAATTTTATCCCTTTCAAAGGACTACAATCCCTGGAAATTTCAGCTCATTTGCACTTATAGTTCCTGAGATAAAATCGTGTTAAGCAATTTGGGGTGATTTATCAATTTTTCAATTTTTCTGAGTGCCTTTTTTCATAGATTTCGGCTTCAAATCTGAGAAAAATTTAGTGTATGGAGTTTGGGGTATATTGATTGACCATTAGGATACAAAATCTTGAAAAAAAAAATTTTGAAATTTCATCGTTTTAGTAAGAAGGTACCTACCTTATGATTTAGATTTTGGAAAACTTTGAAAGGTCATAACTTTTTTTCTATTATAGATAGAAAGCTGAATCTGAGTGCCTTTTTTCATAGATTTCGGCTTCAAATCTGAGAATAATTTAGTGTATGGAGTTTGGGGTATGTTGATTGACCATTAGGATACAAAATCTCGAAAAAAAAAATTTTGAAATTTCATCGTTTTAGTAAGAAGGTACCTACCTACCTTATGATTTAGATTTTGGAAAACTTTGAAAGGTCATAACTTTTTTTCTATTATAGATAGAAAGCTGAATCTTTCACTGAATTTCATCCCTTTCAAAGGACTACAATCCCTGAAAATTTCAGCTCATTTGCACTTATAGTTCCTGAGATAAAATCGTGTTAAGCAATTTGGGGTTATTTATCAATTTTTCAATTTTTCTGAGTGCCTTTTTTCATAGATTTCGGCTTCATATCTGAGAATAATTTAGTGTATGGAGTTTGGGGTATGTTGATTGACCATTAGGATACAAAATCTCGAAAAAAAAAATTTTGAAATTTCATCGTTTTAGTAAGAAGGTACCTACCTACCTTATGATTTAGATTTTGGAAAACTTTGAAAGGTCATAACTTTTTTTCTATTTTAGATAGAAAGCTGAAACTTTTACTGAATTTTATCCCTTTCAAAGGACTACAATCCCTGGAAATTTCAGCTCATTTGCACTTATAGTTCCTGAGATAAAATCGTGTTAAGCAATTTGGGGTGATTTATCAATTTTTCAATTTTTCTGAGTGCCTTTTTTCATAGATTTCGGCTTCATATCTGAGAATAATTTAGTGTATGGAGTTTGGGGTATATTGATTGACCATTAGGATACAAAATCTCGAAAAAAAAAATTTTGAAATTTCATCGTTTTAGTAAGAAGGTACCTACCTTATGATTTAGATTTTGGAAAACTTTGAAAGGTCATAACTTTTTTTCTATTTTAGATAGAAAGCTGAAACTTTTACTGAATTTTATCCCTTTCAAAGGACTACAATCCCTGGAAATTTCAGCTCATTTGCACTTATAGTTCCTGAGATAAAATCGTGTTAAGCAATTTGGGGTGATTTATCAATTTTTCAATTTTTCTGAGTGCCTTTTTTCATAGATTTCGGCTTCATATCTGAGAATAATTTAGTGTATGGAGTTTGGGGTATGTTGATGGACCATTAGGATACAAAATCTCGACAAAAAAAATTTTGAAATTTCATCGTTTTAGTAAGAAGGTACCTACCTTATGATTTAGATTTTGGAAAACTTTGAAAGTTCATAACTTTTTTTCTATTATAGATAGAAAGCTGAATCTTTCACTGAATTTCATCCCTTTCAAAGGACTACAATCCCTGAAAATTTCAGCTCATTTGCACTTATAGTTCCTGAGATAAAATCGTGTTAAGCAATTTGGGGTGATTTATCAATTTTTCAATTTTTCTGAGTGCCTTTTTTCATAGATTTCGGCTTCAAATCTGAGAATAATTTAGTGTATGGAGTTTGGGGTATGTTGATTGACCATTAGGATACAAAATCTCGAAAAAAAAAATTTTGAAATTTCATCGTTTTAGTAAGAAGGTACCTACCTACCTTATGATTTAGATTTTGGAAAATTTTGAAAGGTCATAACTTTTTTTCTATTATAGATAGAAAGCTGAATCTTTCACTGAATTTCATCCCTTTCAAAGGACTACAATCCCTGAAAATTTCAGCTCATTTGCACTTATAGTTCCTGAGATAAAATCGTGTTAAGCAATTTGGGGTGATTTATCAATTTTTCAATTTTTCTGAGTGCCTTTTTTCATAGATTTCGGCTTCAAATCTGAGAATAATTTAGTGTATGGAGTTTGGGGTATGTTGATTGACCATTAGGATACAAAATCTCGAAAAAAAAAATTTTGAAATTTCATCGTTTTAGTAAGAAGGTACCTACCTACCTTATGATTTAGATTTTGGAAAACTTTGAAAGGTCATAACTTTTTTTCTATTATAGATAGAAAGCTGAATCTTTCACTGAATTTTATCCCTTTCAAAGGACTACAATCCCTGGAAATTTCAGCTCATTTGCACTTATAGTTCCTGAGATAAAATCGTGTTAAGCAATTTGGGGTGATTTATCAATTTTTCAATTTTTCTGAGTGCCTTTTTTCATAGATTTCGGCTTCATATCTGAGAATAATTTAGTGTATGGAGTTTGGGGTATGTTGATGGACCATTAGGATACAAAATCTCGACAAAAAAAATTTTGAAATTTCATCGTTTTAGTAAGAAGGTACCTACCTTATGATTTAGATTTTGGAAAACTTTGAAAGTTCATAACTTTTTTTCTATTATAGATAGAAAGCTGAATCTTTCACTGAATTTCATCCCTTTCAAAGGACTACAATCCCTGAAAATTTCAGCTCATTTGCACTTATAGTTCCTGAGATAAAATCGTGTTAAGCAATTTGGGGTGATTTATCAATTTTTCAATTTTTCTGAGTGCCTTTTTTCATAGATTTCGGCTTCAAATCTGAGAATAATTTAGTGTATGGAGTTTGGGGTATGTTGATTGACCATTAGGATACAAAATCTCGAAAAAAAAAATTTTGAAATTTCATCGTTTTAGTAAGAAGGTACCTACCTACCTTATGATTTAGATTTTGGAAAACTTTGAAAGGTCATAACTTTTTTTCTATTATAGATAGAAAGCTGAATCTTTCACTGAATTTTATCCCTTTCAAAGGACTACAATCCCTGGAAATTTCAGCTCATTTGCACTTATAGTTCCTGAGATAAAATCGTGTTAAGCAATTTGGGGTGATTTATCAATTTTTCAATTTTTCTGAGTGCCTTTTTTCATAGATTTCGGCTTCAAATCTGAGAATAATTTAGTGTATGGAGTTTGGGGTATATTGATTGACCATTAGGATACAAAATCTCGAAAAAAAAAATTTTGAAATTTCATCGTTTTAGTAAGAAGGTACCTACCTTATGATTTAGATTTTGGAAAACTTTGAAAGGTCATAACTTTTTTTCTATTTTAGATAGAAAGCTGAAACTTTTACTGAATTTTATCCCTTTCAAAGGACTACAATCCCTGGAAATTTCAGCTCATTTGCACTTATAGTTCCTGAGATAAAATCGTGTTAAGCAATTTGGGGTGATTTATCAATTTTTCAATTTTTCTGAGTGCCTTTTTTCATAGATTTCGGCTTCAAATCTGAGAATAATTTAGTGTATGGAGTTTGGGGTATGTTGATTGACCATTAGGATACAAAATCTCGAAAAAAAAAATTTTGAAATTTCATCGTTTTAGTAAGAAGGTACCTACCTACCTTATGATTTAGATTTTGGAAAACTTTGAAAGGTCATAACTTTTTTTCTATTATAGATAGAAAGCTGAATCTTTCACTGAATTTTATCCCTTTCAAAGGACTACAATCCCTGGAAATTTCAGCTCATTTGCACTTATAGTTCCTGAGATAAAATCGTGTTAAGCAATTTGGGGTGATTTATCAATTTTTCAATTTTTCTGAGTGCCTTTTTTCATAGATTTCGGCTTCATATCTGAGAATAATTTAGTGTATGGAGTTTGGGGTATGTTGATGGACCATTAGGATACAAAATCTCGACAAAAAAAATTTTGAAATTTCATCGTTTTAGTAAGAAGGAACCTTATGATTTAGATTTTGGAAAACTTTGAAAGTTCATAACTTTTTTTCTATTATAGATAGAAAGCTGAATCTTTCACTGAATTTCATCCCT